GTAACCAAAAAGTGTACTACTAAATATGAAGACTGACAAAAGTTGCAGCCTAAGCTTAATTATAGTGGGATAGCGTTGCTTCAAGTCATTGTGAACTGTAGAGATTTGAGAAACGTTGTCTGAATAAAAACTTGTTTGGAAACTTGTCTGTTTTCATAGTAGTCGGCAATAAGAACATAAGTATGAACGCTTCAGTAGGTCTACTGGCCCATGCTAGGCAAGTCCAAGTCACCTACTGGCCTAAGATAGTCAGGTGCAAGTCACATCCACTTAAGGAGCACTGCATCAGACCTATTAGTCCAACGTGTGCACCACAGCCTGGTCGATCAGGAGCTTGCTTGAGGAATTTATCAATTCCCTTTTGACGACAACTAAGTCTGTAATGTCCGGGTGTATGAAGGGTCCTCAAATAGGTTGGTACCTTTACATTCACTGAGTTACCTTCGAGTGCGCTCACTGCCCCCTTGCTTTTCACTGGGGGTCTGTCCACTTTCTGCTGTAATGCTCTATTTCATCCTCTTTGGCCACTCTTTAAAGGTAAGAGCAAATTTACTGGTTGTTTCCTATGTAAAGTAAAAGGACTTACTGTCGGTAATTCTACCAACATTATTACACGTTGTTTCCTAGTACAAATATCTTGACTGCAACGGCTGTAGAGAAAGAAAATCAACAATGTTGGAAGACTGTCTCGAGAGTTCTCAGAACTCGAGTAGATTACAGCCTTATTTATAGTGTCAATGCTAGAATAACCAAAATGAGGTACAGAGTTTATACAAGATCGCTGATAGATTACCAGGCACCAGTTTTAGTCCTGCAAAATAATACAAGTTGTACCTAAAAAAAAAATGCAAATTGAAGTCCTATGAATTATTCTAGGCTGTTCTATAATGATTAAATTTCTTAGTATGAGGAAAGAATTAGGTTGAGTATGCGAAGTCAGTCTCATGACAGGACTGAAGCTTCTGCCTGGTGATAAAGGCAATGTTGTCTCTGAAGAATTCTTGGAACACTAGGTTTCAGATAACAGCCACGCATATTAAAATGTTTGGTCTGCCTGAATTGTATCAAGCTAGGTAAGTCTCTGATATCTGACCAACTATCCTCCTAAGAAACTGATCACACAGTCTTCATCAAACTGCTATATTTAGTGTTCTAGGAAGTCTACAGAATGAAAATAACATCACGCAGACTTACTACACAGATAATGTAGCTCTCCAAAATCTTGTGAGTGAGAGGTCGCCAGAGCTGTTACAGTAAACTAGCCTGATGTTAATGCGATTCAGAAAAATATTAGAATTAATAATAGTAAACTAGCCTGGTGGTAATGCGATTCAGAAAAATATTAGAATTAATAATAGTAAACTAGCCTGATGGTAATGCGATTCAAAGAAATATTAGAATTAATAATTAAGTCCATCATGCCAACTACTTTGTTTACAGCGCGTTTTGATCTCAAGCTTGCAGAAGCTACATACACACACAGTTCAATTCCGCATCCCCATCCCTTGCTTGAAATAGCCTATGATCTAAATGTAACATTTTTGTGCCTAAAGCCAGACAAGACATGAATACAACGATTTTTTAACAAAGGGATTCGAGTCAAACTTCTGTGTATTCCGGAAACATGATAAATTCTATTCCTTGGCTAAATTAGCAGTAAGCTAAAACAATATCGAGTATAATTTTAAGTTTCTCTAACAAAAATTTAAGAATTGTTATTAGAAATGAATTAGAAAATGAGTTTGAAGAAAATAAGAGTACATATAAGAATTAGCAGCTCCACTGCTCGAAGAATCAATGGAATGGACATGTTTATGGATAGAGTAACAAGATGAGTGAACTACTACAGACGTTGTTGCTACTAGACTTAGAACGAAGCGAAACTTGTGAGAAAGTTGCCTAATTTTTTATACCCTTGTTAGCTTAGCAGTAAAATTGATATCTAGGAATCAGTCGACTAATGTGGGTCTCATTCTAGGGAAGGAGCTACAGCACTCCAACGGAGGGAGTCTTGGCTTTCTTAGGTCATCCTAGGGACCTAGGTGAACCCTCTGGGGTCAAAACTCCGGGAAAAGTCCTCTTCTAATCTACCAATTAATGATATTTCCTTAAAAAATGGATTTATTAATACATTTCAACTCCTACCTTCTTCAAACTCTGCCATTTCTTTCTAAGTAATACTTGTTAAACTTCTGTTTGGCCATCCATAATTATTCAGCACTCTCTCAATATATATTTAGTCTAGATATAAACCTCAGTATGTTTTTGAATGTTTATGTGAGGAGGAATACATAGCACCTTGACTTTAATACCTTTATCAGTAAATCGTGTATATTTGTCTGGCTTCTGAAACAAACTCGATCTTAAATTAATACAGGGGTTACTAGATCCCGGATTTGCCTAGTCCCAGAGTCTCCTGGTCTTGAATTCACCTGGTTCCATAGTCACCTGGTCCTGGATTTACCCGACAAACCTGTGACTGGTTTCGAAGGATCTGCTACCTCCGCAGCCCAGCTTGAGGTCTGCTCCTAAACTCACCTGATCACCTTCGTTGAGCCTCGGGTAGCACCTGTCTGCAGGGGTATTGGGCGCTACTCTGGACACCAGGACGGGCAGGTTCTGGTCAGCGCCGCCCTTGACGTTGAAGCCAAACTTGCCACCTTCGTCAGGCTTCATCCTGATGGTGACAAGGCCGTGGGCGCTCTCCTCGCTTCCTCCCCCCGGCTGTGGACGGCCAGGCCAGGCCAGAAGAAGAGGCCAAGAATGAGTGCCACCTACACCAGCAAGCAGTGAACACCAAGCCACCCAGAGAGAAAAGTTCAAGAATAAAAACATTCTGAATCCCCTTACCCCAAAATGGATGCCAAAAAAAAAAAAAAAAGCAAAATACATTTAAGAAGGGGGCAAGAGTTACGCTTAAGATAAAAGTGTTGGAGAATTAGTCCCTAAAATACCTGGAAATGAGAAAAAGTATGAAAAGTGTATAGAAAGTCGTTGATCAAAATACATAGCGCGTTGAATAAATAATGAGTAGGTGTAATTAATGTGCCCACGTCACCTACCTTTGTACACGAGTTTCTTATTGACTTGATTATATCACTTAACACGCTACAACTTTCCCCGATCACACAACAAGTTTACCATAGTGAAGAATACACGTCAATACGGTGGATGAAATCACAACAAATCTACAACTTGGAGAGGAAACTTCAGAGGACGTTTCTGTTCAAGACAAGAGAGAAACGTTGTCTAAAGTTCCCTCCCCAAACTGTGTAGTAGATGTGACATGCAGTCCTCGTGTTATTAAAGCTACTGGTCCATCACGCCACAATATCTTGCTACCAACGCTGTATTTTACAAAAAAAAAAAAATAACTAGTCAAGTTTATATGCGATGGACACTTCCGCATATCTACGGCAAACAACTCTCAACTTCCACTCCCATACATACCCAACAGTTACATAGCATCCTAACTAATCATGACGTATACATGACATCCTAACTAATCATGAGGGATACACGACACCCTGATTAATCATGAGGGTTACACGACATTATGATTAATCATGAGGGATACATGACATTCTGACTAATCATGAGAGATACGCGACATTCTAATCATGACATTTCCGTAGATCTTAAATTAGACTTCATCCCCTCCCTCCAAAAAAAGAAAAAAAAAAGCGTCCACGAGATATCAATATCATTCTAGAGGGTAGTTGTGAGGAGTTGTGGGTTGGTTGCCAGTATGCTGATCGTAAAGATGTTTTAGTTTGTGAGAAGGTTGTGAGGTGGATTGGTTGTGAGGCTGAGGTGGTGGTGGTTGAGGTTAAGGGGTGGTGGTTGTGAGGTTAAGGGGTAGCGGTTATGAGGTTAAGGGTGGGTTGTGAGGCTATGGGGTGGTTGTAAGATTAAAGGGGGGTTGTGAGGTTAAGGGTTGTGAGGTGGGATGCCACAACCTCCTCCCAGACAGCCACTCCTCAATGACTGGGACACACTCCCATACCGTCTAAAATTAGCAACAGTTTAAAGGTGAGGGACCATGTTGATGTCCAGGAGTACCCGGGCTACCGGCCTGCCCCTACCCACCCTCCTCCACCTGCTACTGCTGCTGCTACTGTTGCTGCTGCTATTAGTACTGCTGTTGTTGGTGCTGCTGTTGCTGCTAATGGTACTACTACTACTGTTAGTGCTGCTGGTACTGCTATTGGTACTGTTGCTGTTGGTGCTGCTGCTGCTGGTACTGCTATTAGTGTTACTACTTCTGGTACTGCTGTTGGTGCTACTGCTGTTGGTGCTGCTGCTGCTGGTACTGCTGTTGGTGGTGGTGCTGCTGCTGGTACTGCTGTTGGTGGTGGTGGTGCTGCTGGTACTGCTGTTGGTGGTGGTGGTGGTGCTGCTGGTACTGCTGTTGGTGGTGGTGGTGGTGCTGCTGCTGGTACTGCTGTTGGTGGTAATGCTGCTGGTGCTGCTGCTCTTGGTGCTACTCCTGCTATTGGTACTGCTGCTGGTGCTGCTGCTCTTGGTGCTACTCCTGCTATTGGTACTGCTGCTGGTGCTGCTGCTGGTGCTGCTGCTCTTGGTGCTACTCCTGCTCTTGGTACTGCTGCTGCTCCTGTTGTTGGTAATGCTGGTAGTGGTGGCGCTGTTACACTGATGCTGCTTGTGCTGTTGGGGGAATTAACGTTGTTGCTGATGGCGTTTCTGGTGGTGCTGATGCTGCTTCTGCTGATGGCACTGATGCTGTTGGTGGTACTCATGATGTTTCTACTGTAGATGGTGCTGTTAGTTTTGCTGCACCTGATGCCTGATATGCTGTTGGTCTTGGTGGTGCTCCACTGCTGCTGTTAGCGGTGCTACTTGTGGTAGCGATAATGCTGATGCGGCTGCATTTGGAGATACTACTGCTTTCCATGTCGCTGCTGCTACTGATGTAACTGCTTCGCGCTTATGGTGCTTACATTACCAGTGCTGCTTGTGATGATGCTTCCGGTGTTGTCTGAGCTGCTGCCAGTTCCACCAAACAAGGAGCTTCCCTCACTGAGGAAGCAGGATGAAAGCAAGTAACCCTGTCAAGTACAGCGACACAACCTTCTACCTACACTAGACATACACTGTATTCTTATCCTCGTTCACCTAGTCCAGCTTGACTTACAACAAATATTTGACTGTTCTCGGCTGACGCTGTCCAATGCGTTATTACACTCATGAGGAAGCACTAAACCCACATGAGTCATGCAGCTCCTATTGAAATGGAAGGCATTCAGATTCGATTCAAGGACCTTCTAATTCCTTGGAACAGGAGCATTGCGCACCCTTGAAGGGTGTGCAATGCGCTGGAAAACTAATTTGCTATTTGGTGGACAAGTTGGTTTACCTTAATGTTCCCACTGGTATATCATTCTTGGGAAAGCGCTGTGTAGAATTATACAACGCCTGAATAATAATGGGAAATTATCATGCTTGATCCAAGAAAGAGAAAAGAAACCAATTTCTTGAATCAAAAGTCGTCCATGAGCGTCAACACTCCCTCTGAAGGAAGTGATATCATTAGCTGAATGAGCAACACAACACCTACCATTTACACCAAACATTTGTTTACACGGCGTTAAGGAACCCAAAACGATCAAGATACTTTCTAAGACCTCCATTATCCAGACTATGACCAGCAGGGCCATAAAAGGTCTCCCCCAGTGTGAATACATACTGGATGACCCCAATAACCTTAACGACGTACTGATATTAACCTTGAGAACGCCAAGTCACCTTTCATCAATGTCACTTTACAGCTTCACTTTACAATACCAGACAAGTCTTCCCCGACACACACACACACACACACACACACACACACACACACACACACACACACACACACACACACACACTTCCTCGTCCCGGGGAGCAAATGTCAACACTTCCTGTAAAAGTCCACTACAGTCGACGTCACCAATTGTATTCAGAACTATTTAAAAAATACTGAAGAAGTAATGAGTCAGTTGGGAAAATACATGATAAAGTTGGCAGGAATGTTGACCACGTTTATATAGTTTCTTAGGACGAGTTCTGCAGCTTATGACTCACATCCTAGGAAAAATAAAAAGGCATCGCCTAACTTCTTGTAACCAAGGTTAAGGTCAGTCAGTCAGTCAGCCAGTCACAAGCAATGATACAACACCAAACGTACAGAGTACTGCCAACTACTGTTACAACACAACCATGTAACTACTACTGTTACAACACAACCATGTAACTACTACTACTGTTACAACACAACCATGTAACTACTACTACTGTTACAACACAACCATGTAACTACTACTACTGTTACAACACAACCATGTAACTACTACTGTAACAACACAACCATGTAACTACTACTACTGTAACAACACAACCATGTAACTACTACTGTAACAACACAACCATGTTACTACTGTAACAACACAACCATGTAACTACTACTACTGTTACAACACAACCATGTAACTACTACTACTGTTACAACACAACCATGTAACTACTACTACTGTAACAACACAACCATGTAACTACTACTGTAACAACACAACCATGTAACTACTACTACTGTAACAACACAACCATGTAACTATACTCTGTAACAAACAAACCATGTAACTACTACTGTAACAACACAACCATGTAACTACTACTACTGTTACAACACAACCATGTAACTACTATACTGTACAACACAACCATGTAACTACTACTACTGTTACAACACAACCATGTAACTACTACTGTAACAACACAACCATGTAACTACTACTACTGTAACAACACAACCATGAACTAACTACTACTGTAACAACACAACCATGTAACTACTACTACTGTTACAACACAACCATGTAACTACTACTACTGTTACAACACAACCATGTAACTACTACTACTGTTACAACACAACCATGTAACTACTACTGTAACAACACAACCATGTAACTACTACTACTGTAACAACACAACCATGTAACTACTACTGTAACAACACAACCATGTAACTACTACTACTGTTACAACACAACCATGTAACTACTACTACTGTTACAACACAACCATGTAACTACTACTACTGTTACAACACAACCATGTAACTACTACTACTACTGTAACAACACAACCATGTAACTACTACTGTAACAACACAACCATGTAACTACTACTACTGTTACAACACAACCATGTAACTACTGTTACAACACAACCATATAAATACTACTGTTACAAAACCATGTAACTACTACTGTTACAAAACCATGTAACTACTACTGTTACAAAACCATGTAACTACTACTGTTACAAAACCATGTAACTACTACTGTTACAAAACAACCATGTAACTACTACTGTTACAAAACAACCATGTAACTACTACTGTTACAAAACCATGTAACTACTACTGTTACAAAACCATGTAACTACTACTGTTACAAAACAACCATGTAACTACTACTGTTACAAAACAACCATGTAACTACTACTGTTACAAACATCCCTGTAACTATAAATATCGTTGGTTTCAGTGGGCTGGTGACACCATCAATCATGTCATATAAACACTGACAGTGAAAACTGAGAATCTGAATTATGTCATCGTTTCTCTACATAAACCATCAGACACAAATTCTCAGCTAATGCAAAATGAAAACTGCATCTATCCAAGTTCTTCTGTACCCGACCGCAAACATCATCTTCCT